TGCAAGGACCAAATGGTTAACCGAAGAGCCACTAGAATACTGTAGAATGAGAAGAAAAAAAAATTTAAGAAGCAGATTACTCAATGCCGAGCTGACCATCTCATTCAGTGTTTTCTTATACACAAATTTTCTCCCCACTACTCGTCACTCAGATTCTTCTGGTCGATGACATATTTCNCCCCCTGTTCCTTCCTCCTTCCTAGTGACAATAACGCCAACAAGAAGGGATTGGTGGAGTGGGCGTAGCCGGTGGGCGGACTAAGAACGCGACGTGTCTCCTTGCGTTGAATGGTCGTCGCCTGACGACCGCAATGTCCCTATTACGCTCTGCTTCGCTCCTCCTCGTCGTCGTCACCGCTGCATTACCACCTTGTACTCTCGGCTATTCCCTCCATGACGGTAGCCGTCTGGACGACGTCATCGCTGAGTTTACAGCAGAACGCCGACCACGGCGGCTCGCCACACCGGCCCAGCGCCGGTTGATGGGCCTCACTGAGGAGCAACACAAAACTGTACAATTCTATTTGGATAAACTTAGAGAGCTCGGTAACCGACGGCATCCCGAAAGCTACAATAAGGTATCGGTGACACTTTTGAATCGATAAATAATTCTTTTGATGCGCTATGAGAGAGACAGCGTAATTTGCCGAAACTAGAGAGAGACCGACAACTGGTTGCAAAAGTTGTCCATTATTGATCGGATCGGTGCTTTGTTGTTTTATCAATACCAGTTCGGTGCCACTTGTATTCCAGTCATTCCGCCTTCTTATTCGCACATTGCCTCTCTCTGTGTATTCTCAATGTTTCTGCCACTGTGTAAACAGATTTTAGACAATATTTAGTGTTAACGAGGCCTTCATGTGAATCGATTGAGTTTTTCTGATAGGGAAGGTCCCATCCTGTCGGAGCTCCCACGGAGGTGGCTCAAATATTCGAGTAGTTCAATTCCTTAACGTCTCCATACCCATACCTGATCTCTCTCACTGAACGTCCGGTCTGTTACTTCCCACTCCTCTCCTTTCAGTCAACATTCGACTTCTACGGCGCTGCTCTGACCCACCTTCACTCCCTTTCACTTCGCGTCCGTCCCTGTGATGAATGGTACCGTTTTTTGAACCCGTTCAATAGATTGGAGCGGTTATTGACCAAGTGGACACCCATTCAACATCGGTTCTCTCTCCAACTATTATTGATCGATTGTCGAGGTCACCCAATGAAAGAAATCACAGGGAACCTCTTGGCGCTCCCTGTGGTCTGTTCGTGTTGGTATTACGTTCTAGCCCAATTGGGAGACTTCTTTTGATCCTCATTAATGAAATGTTATCTTTATTCCTACATTTTATGGCGAGGATCAGATTTGTTTGTTGCTAACTGGGGGTTTCTTCTGACTGGCTGCTTGCACTCGAACCCTTTTTATGACCGAGTCAGTGCCCCGATTGAACCCTTTTTTCGTTAGCCGTCCAATAGGATTGGCTCCAGTTGCGCAATATCGAGGCTTCCTGTCATTGTGGCCGAGTAAATGCATCCAGGAATTGGAATGGGGAAGTCTGCTGAAAACCTAGTTTTTATTTGAACGTCCAAATGTTTGTATCGATAATATGAAGCTTGTTCATGGAAATCAGGGCCTATAAAGTGTGTCAGACCTACTTGACTCAGGCAATCATTGCAAGGACCAAATGGTTAACCGAAGAGCCACTAGAATCCTGTAGAATGAGAAGAAAAAAATTTAAGAAGCAGATTACTCAATGCCGAGCTGACCATATCATTCAGTGTTTTCTTATACACAAATTTTTTCCCCACCACTCGTCACTCAGATTCTTCTGGTCGATGACATATTTCGAATACCAGTAAGTGACTGGTCCGTTACATTCATCTTCCCATGGAGAGTATGTTTTGGCTGCTTAGAGACATTTGTCATGAGGAACTGACCAGTGCCCAATTTGCACGGTAAGGGAACTTTGTGATGCTTGGAAGTCAAAATACTCTGAGAAAAAAGAAATAGAAAAGTATTTTTTGAAGAAAAGTTTAAAGAACAAACTTTTTTACAAGTTAGAATGAGAAGTTTGCTTAGTGAACTGAAGGCTGGGATGAAGATTATTGAGTAAGCTTCCCAGAAGGTATCGTTGTCAATTTACCAGAACCTCATGATTAAG